TATTGTGCAATAATTTGTATGTGACATCAGTTTTTGTATATTGGAAAATAGAAGATGAATGAATATGACGTGCGCTTTGCAAAGTAAGTAGGTTTTTTATGACATAAAATAAAATAAAAAATAGTTTATTTTTATGAAAATATTATTTCGTCAGTTGCGGCTTCTAGATTTTATGATGTGTTTCATTTATGCTTTGTTTGTGAGGTTATGATAAAGTTAGGTGTACTATATTTAGTACATCAAGAAAAAAGGGGTCTACGAATATGTTCATAGTCAAAACAAAAATAAAATGGTTTTAGGTAAATTATTTTTGAATAAGTAATTATTTTGAGAAGGAACATTTGTGTCAGGGGTTTTTCTTTGCATGAGGCGCTAGCAATGATAGAAGATGACGACATTGAAGCTGAGTCTATCACTTTGTTATCTCCCACTAATGCATGCGGTAACATAACCGACGAGGATTCTGGAGCCGAAGAAAGACTAGATATCAACAACTTACCAGGAAGCTTAATGTAAGCTGAGGTCGAAGCAAATAAGAATCAAAACGAGGATATGTGGAGTTCAGAAGATGAGACACCTCTCAGTGAAATCAGGTGTAATAATCGGAAGGAAGTGAAAAAGAAGAAAACATATAATTACGTAAAAGAAGATTTCCCAAGAAATGAGTATGCGTTTCCAATAAACAACGAAAATCAAAATGAACAAGAGCAGTCCCCAACCGAGATATTTTTTAGTTTTTTTGATAACGAAATTTTGAACACAATAGTTGAGGAGACAAACCGGTATGCTCAACAGAAAAACAGGAATATTATGGTTACCAATTCTGAAATCAAATGTTTTCTAGGCATATTAATGTTGAGTGGCTACAGTAGTGTATCTCGCAGAAGGATGTATTGGGAAAATCCAGTGATTCACACAACTCACTTGTTTCTGAAGCTATTTCTCGCGATAAATCTGAATTTATAATGTCTCACATTCACTTCCTAAACAATGAAGCTCTGGATGCAAATGATAAATTTGCTAAACTAAGGCGTCTTTTCAATCACCTAAATAAAAACATTTTGGAATACGCAATACCAGAAGAGCATCATAGTATTGATGAAGCAATGGTTCCATACAACGGGCGACATGGTTGTAAACAGTATATCCACGGGAAACCAATACGTTATGGGTTCAAATTTTGGGTTGGCGCTACTACTCCTGGTTACATCTTATGGTTTGAACCTTATCAGGGTGCTTCGACGTATGTGAACGCGGCTTACAAATCTTTAGCTGTTGGCGCATCAGTAGGAATTGAGCTATGCTGATAGGCTAAAAAGCAAATTGGCAAATCTTAGGTTTCATTTTGTATTTGATAATTTTTTTTCTTCGCCAGCTTTGTTTGAAAGCTTGACTGTCTTCTTTCAAAAATTCAAAACTTATGAAAAAGGAACAACGTAGAATGTTTGATTATACCAAAGTAAAAGATAAAAACGTAATTTTTGTAAAATGGAATGACAACAATATTGTAACTTTTGGATCTACAGCGATTGGAATTGAACCAGTAAATTCAGTAAAGCGGTATTTTCAAAAAGAAAAAAGTTTGTGTATGTAGATCAGTCCCAAGTTGTCAAGCTGTATAATAAATGTATGGGCGAGGTGGATAGGTCAGACCAGAATATAGCTCAATACAGAGTACAAATCCGAGGCAAAAAATGGTATTTCTCGTTGATCTCTCAATGTGTAGATATGGCCCTGACAAACGCCTGGCATATTTATAAAAAGAGAGGAAATAACGTGGATCAATTACAATTTAGAAGAAGTGTAGCTACAACTATCTTGACACAAAATAAGAAGACTTATACGTACCATCAAGGTAAATCAAGAAATTTTGGTGACAAGGTATGATCACTTAGATCAATTAGTCATTCCACAAGGCAAACAAACAAGGTGTGCACACTGTCATGAGCGCACGACTTCTAGATGTAGAAAATATGATGTCGGCCTTCACGTGAAATGTTTTGTTCAATATTAAAATTTGCAATATTGATGTGTTTCAAAATATTTGTACTATTTTCAATATTTTACCTATATTCCTAATGTACTATGTATAGTACATCCTAAAAAAAACTAACTGTTTATGTATTTTTTTTTAGAATAAATTGAAAATACCTCCAAAGTGTCGTCTTTTAATAAGGTTTTTTAAAAAATAATAAAAAAAACTTTTTTGCATCTCTTTGGGCATAAATAGGTTAAGCTTATTTAATTTTGCAACATTCAACCAGTTCAGCTGTTCGAAACATGCACTAGTATGATCATATTTTCTTAAGTTGAAAATCAATCTACAACATGAATTTTGAACTTTTTGCAGACGTTTAGCTAAAACTGAATCTAGTATACTAAATCACAATATGTGATTTTTGATATTATTAAAGATTCACATAGATTTTTCTGGCATCTAAAATCAAGTATTCCTTTATTTAAGTACAGATGCCGTAAAACAGTAAAACAATTTTAAATTCCATGATTTACATGAGAAATAAATTTGAAATTATCATCTATAAATAAGCCTAAGTTTTTAACTGATTCTTCTATCTAAATAGCATAACCGTTTAGAGTAATGTTCAAATTACTATTAATAAGGGACCTTAGATTTTTAGGAGAAAAAATAATAACTATGGACTTAGAAGGAGTCAACCGGAGACCGTTGCATAATTCTCATTAGAATTTTGGTCCTCTATTATATGTGCTTCCGAAATTTCCAGGCTACTCTAACCATAACAAAACTTGTATGAAATTTACCTGAATAATTAAAATTTAATATGGAATCCGGTTTAATTAAAAGAAAAGCTGAGAAAGTTAACCGTATGCAAAAAATAATGTAATTAATATAAATATAATTAAAATTATTTTTAATCTATAAAGAATTGCAATAACTGAACCGTAAATAGATAATCATTTTGGTAAGAATCCTAAGATCCTATACATCAAGCCGATTTCACGTTCGATAGCCGTCGTCGTCATCGAGACGAATCTACTGTCATCTAGATAAATTCGGTAAAGGTTCGCAGTTGCTCTGGAAGGCTTCTGGAAATCATCCATTGAAGTTAAATATCCGAACAAACGGTATTTTCATTACAGTATAATTTATTTACTGAAAACTGATCCTTTTAAAGTATACTTCGAAGTTGAGTCATTTATTTTAACAGTGAGTAGATCTGATCAAAAGAAATGTTTTTTCCTTTAACATTTTTCTGGTAAAATTAAAGTAACAAAGTTATAGCCCTTTGGAAGTTTGAGTACCGCCCTGTCTCAATAATAATATTATGTGCTCGTGTTTGGCAACAACGGATATAATCCGCCTTATCGGTTCATCGCATCGGAAACAAAAAAGCGAAAGAATTTGGAACGATGTTTTTACAATTATTTTATTCAGTTGTATACAGTCAGTGTCAGTCGGTAACGCGTGAGTGAATAGTGGTGTCTGATGCGTGGCTCAAACGAAATAAAAAATGGCACATGTTCAGGCGGATCGGTTTCCCAATCGAGTGCAACGAACCCCTCGTGCCTTTGTTAATGTAGTACAACGGGCTCGTGAATCAGGTGACTTAAGACCTCACAGGGGACGGCACGCCGATGCTCCAAGACCTCACGATCAAATACAGGTCCGCACTGAAATACTTGTCGGGGGATACTTTATAAAACAAGGTAAAATTTTTTTTTTAATTTTTTTTTATTTTCACACACATATTTTGGTTCATCTTCCTTCTACAATCATTATCTGAAAATTAATGACTCAACTTCAAAGTCACCCTGCATAGCTTTTAGGTTTTCTCCATAAATTTAATAGAAACTCCTTTGCATAATAAATATGTATAATGTTAATGTGTTCTATTCCGTTTTTCTTTTCTCTCGCCTACCGGAAGCTAATTATGGCCTCTATTCCGTGTGATCACAATCACACTTTTCTGGGCAAGCATAGAAATGACAGTTATGGACTCGATTGAGGACTTATGTGATTTAATGTACAGAATGGAATTGCAAAAGGAGGATGATATCAAAATGTGGTTAAAATACCTACCGTCATGTTTGCTGTGAGGAACTTCAAGACTCTATGAAATTCAAACGTTTTAGCAAGACGTTAGATGCAACGGTAGTCTGTCAAAGGCGTCTAAAACTTGAGTAAACTTGTAAGTAGGAACTTTGTTTGAGATGCAGCTTTATTTGGGAGATGCACTAACTGAGTTCTTGGTAGTTATTTTGACGCAGAAGGTCACTTACCTGTACATCAAACCCATTTGCTCGACTCTTGAATGAATTAAGTTCAGTAGAAATTTACTAACGAGATTCGTACAGAGTGGGGCAATATTGAAGGCGTTCTCATCAGATGGATTACAGGAATTGGGAAAGCTACAAAAATTGCAATACATCCATACTTGATGCTGTTCAGAGGAAGACTCTTCTCTAACGGACAGCTTCGGAACCCTTTCGCACCGACGGGTCGTCAGCGATCTAGGTGTCTTCTACTATTATGTCAACAGGGTTTGATCCTCGAAGCTCTCCCCCGTGATGACGCCGCGCGATGTGCCTGCCAAACAGGCCCGTCTGACTTTTGCCTCCCATTCTAACCGTGTCGAACATCCAGAACTCGCCGATACGACCACTCATTTGTCTCTAGTGTATCGAGATTCGGGATTAGTCTACCTAAGGACGCGTTTCGCAGTTGAACTTCGAAAATCGCATTCACAAAGTTTCTTTGAGCTCCTCATAGCACCCGCGGTGCTCTCGTATTTTAGCTTCTGCCTTTGCGGCTGCTTCGGGATACATGCTCCAACAAAAACATATTTTTTCACACAATTTAATGAAGAAAAATTTTTATCTCATCCATTTTTGGTACGTGTGTGGCGAGTTTTCCTTTATGTTGCTTTGATACGTGAAATTACCGGTATTTAAAAAATCACACTATTTTCCGCGAAACTTCGAATAATCTTCTCAGTTTATTAACCCTTAGAGGCATGCTGATATAATAACAGGTTTGTCAATTTTCAAGTGGAAAGACAAAAGAAGTGTACATTTGTTATCAAACTATCACGATCCTCAAATTCTCTCAACCGTGAGGAGAAAATCACGAAATGGGCAAATCGAAGATGTAAATTGTCCCCGTATTTTATTGGACTACAATATGAATATGGGATTTGTGGATAAATTGGACCAACTTAAATCTAACTTTGGACTAGATCGAAGAAGTCATAAATGCTGGCATCGTATATTCTTCCATTTCATTGAAATTTGTGTAGTCAACTCATATATACTTTATAAATTAAATGGGCAACAGATATCTCACAAAGATTTTAGAAGGGCCGTAGTCGATGGACTAGTTGCTGAGAAACTGGTAGACCTTAAAACCACTAGGGATAGTTCACCGCTATGTATTAAAAAACATAAGCCAACCGTATCCTCGGAAATTAGATTGGAGAGTTCAGCCCATCAGCCAGAAAGAAGCACCAGAAGGCGTTGCGCAGTATGTAGCACTAAGCAGATGAAGATACGGGCAGAGCGGTCCTGTTCAGTGTGCAAGGTACCTTTGTGTTTGTCAAAGTCCAGAACATGCTTCCAACAATATCATCAAAAGGTAAGAACTTAAATTAAGATGATAAATATTTTTCACTTAAAGTGAAAATAACTTTCAGGCGTAGAGCTACAAAATTTGAGGCACAGTGGTACATCATTTATACCACCCCCCCTCCACTTTACCGAGCCTGGGATTAAGTTTAAAAAATCGTTTTGAGTCATATTTTGTAATTCTTTTTCAAATAAAATAGTTGAATTAAGAAAAACTCGAGTTTATTTTTTATGTGCAGCATAGGTAAGTAATAATAGTATTTGGTTGTGCCTCTAAGGGTTAATTATAAAAATCGAAGAAGAATGAAAAACTGTTTCAGGCTTACGTTGCTTTAGCAGAAAATAAGGTTAGTGGTGTAACAGGTTGGCAGTTATTGCATTAATTACTGCAACATAACTAGTCAAATATACTGAGTGACAAAAAAACACCTACGAATGTCTATCAGAATTCAAGAATTTTTTACGTATCGATTTGTCTTGCCATGAACAACAAGTGATAAAGTGGTCAGGTTTTTCTGTTAAGTTTTTGTGGTGCCTGCCTTTATTGTTTGGTGATAAAGAAGCATTCAGTTTTCGTACATTTACGGTATCAGTTAAATGTTAAATTTAATGTAGCTTATTGAGAACCTTTTTTGTGATTGTTCAAAATGTCCCAGCTAAGTGACTGCCACGCTTTTTTTTGTTAATTAATAAAACACAATGATAAATACTATCTGACGGTTGGTCCAAGCAAAACAGTTCTCTAGTGGCGTGCAAATTTAGGCCCTGGCTCAACAAAGCGGAGAGTAGGGGGGGGGGGTTAAGAGCGCCAGTGACTTAGGACGGATTAAGCCACAACTCCTCGAGATGTGAGTCGGAACTTGTTTTGTTTGACCACCACACAAAAAGAGAATCTAACAGAGATGACGAATTTTAAGTAACAGTACACCCAGAGAGAGCCAAATAAAATAAGATATTAAATTAATCACAATATATTGACTAATAAAAAAAAACGCACATGTGCTCCACTACGGGAGTGCGAGTAATAATAAAAGAAAGGATATTATAAATCTTAAATACAACCTGACAAAATTATTTTTCGAGATAACCCCCCGAAACGTATACCATGGTATACGCCCGAAGTATTTACAGATATTTTGCGCCTAAATATTAAACTTATCTGTAGGTCTTATTTGTCAGGCGCGGCCGAGATGTCCTCAACTATGGTCAAAAAGTGGCCAGTAGTGGGCACGTCACTGGGCAGGGGCTGCTTGCCTCGTTGCCAAAAATTATGGTAGTAAAGAAAAAAACCCTAGAGAGAGAAAGACTGTTTAAAAATCTACTATACTCTCGGTCTGAGATAAAACTACTCATTGACAACAATTGCACTTGAAGCAAAACCATGTACATTTTTTTTACAATAAAAGTAAAACAAAGGCAAAAAACAGATAAAAACTAATATACCCTTGTTCTAAAAAGTTATGGCAACTCAAAAATCAAAATCATGATCAATGTAATAGAAGTTACCATGTAAAATTTCAATAATCAATAATGAATGTATAAAGATCTATGAAATTATTAATTGGAATGATATTTTACCTGTTCACATCAGGTTTTTTTTTCAAGGGGATGGCTTCCACCAATTTGCAAAACTGCAACAAGATGCAACCAACTGGAGGAGAAAGGATGATGACTCTCTTCTGTTTCTATTGACTAAAAGAAAGCAGATATTGAACGAACGTCATCAGGACACGCATTCAGGCACGTGGTCCGAAGGTATATAAAAACGAACTTACCGCTGGTAAGGTCAAAATCCTATAAAAAATTTAAGACGTAGCACCCAAATCAAAATAACTAAACTTAAGTTACACAAAAAAAAGGTGCTAGTCCATGGCGCTTGGGGCCTAATACCCCAGAGTCCGGAAAATGACGAAACGACCCCTGCACCACGACCTCAACGGAAACAGAAAAGCGAATCACGTAAGGTTCTAGAAGAAGGCACCTTGAGTGGCCTTGAAGAAGATATGTTTAATAGGAAACCAACTAACGGAGGAAAACTACAGAGTTTTTTGCTGATCGTCAACACCATACTGAATCGCTGAGAAAGAAAGAGTGAAATTATACAATCAATAAACTATTAAATTTGCCAAAAGAAAAATCACTGAAAAGGGTTTGATCTAGGAATGGGCACTCTATTATCAATGGAGAGAAATTCAAATTACGGATAAGTGATAAATAGTAAAATCGCTAATCCAGTGGTTCGAAGAGCATGGAAGGATGGTTGGTAAACGTACGGTATATCGCCCAATACGACAGTTTGGCCTTTTTTTCTTATCGCCCCCATTGGATGCTACCTCTCACAGCTGAACATCGGCATAACCATTTGCTCTGGTCTAGATAAATAAGTCTATGGGACCAGGTGGTCTTTAGTGACGAATTACGCCTCTGTCTGAAAATTGAAAATTTAATCATTTTACTAGTAAGGGACACGTAACATATATGCCAAAAATTATTCAAATCGGATAAACATACGTAGGTGTTTACCTTTTTTATCAATCAGTATACATCAAATAATTAGCTAAGATGGTCACAATGAAATTCGTTTATTACAATATCAGTCAGTATTATCAGCAAGAATCCTGGCAGACATTCCGACAATAACTTCATTTCATTAGGAATTTGGTGTGGTTGGACCTGAGTAAGGGAAATCGTTAATAAGACTGACTATTAATTTAACACGTGGTAGCGATTTGAGAAAAAAATATAAGGTAAAGTATACACTTATACTGAGAAGACATCTCAATGTCAGCGCTCACTAAGGTCAATTTACTTGGTTGATTTTACACTTTAGTTGTATATTTAATATTTGTAAACTGATCGAAGGCATCTTCGATAGCTATTAGCTTATCAATTCTAAACACTGTTCTGCATTCTCGACAATGGGGATGTGCAAGTAGAAATCTGAGACTCGGTTGGGGTTAATTGGAGCTGTCCCACGTGGATATGAAATGAAACAACTAATTATCAAGAGTTGAAGAAAACCCGTTTATTAATTCTCCAAGATTAAAACAATGAAAGTATAACTTCAGGAAAGAGTGGGTTGTCTGGTTGAGTTACCCTATCGGCTAAGTGAGTAACTGCCAAGAATGAAATTCGACTGGTACTGGTTGTGATAGATAATTTGAGTTCACACTTCAATCCAAAGAATAAGCTCATCAAGTATCAAAGGAGAACTGTAGATATACATTAGATATATAAGATCAAGAGTGTGAGGTAGTTTCACTGTCAACAGTCCTAATGAGATTTTCAAAGATTCGAACTTGATCAATTATAAAGTAAAAAGCAAAGTGAGTAACTGTCAAGGCTGAGTTGGACTGATACTAGTTATACTATTTAATAATAAGCATTTATTTCCCAACAGTTTAACACCATTTACAGAGCAATCTACTTAAAATAAGAAATCACGATGAGGTAAAAAACATATAGCTATAACTAAACAGTAAGACAGGTCAGAAGAATCACAAATTACACTTCAGTACATCTAACTACAAAAAAATATGTCGCATACATCGGCTATTTTATTAGCATTCACGCACATCATGTTAATCGGCGCTTTTGACAGTAAATTCGTTTGTGCTCTTTGGCATGAGAAAGGAGCATTGCACCTTGAAGCTATTCGTGGTACCAGAAATTGTATTTGAGAAAGTATCGAAGGGCTATGTAACAATTTGTATAAAATTATAACTGTCGATTGCTTACGGCGCTGTTCTAAGCACTGAAAGTCAAATTTAAAGAGGAAAATATTGTATTGTGTACCTCTAGTCGGATAAATGCGATCGATCCTAAAACATAAAAATTTTATAAATTCTTTTTTATTTTATCAACAGCATTAATATATTGGTTGTAAATCGGACTCCATATCAGAGATCCAAATTCGAGTTTAGACCTAACCAAGCTGAAGTATAAAGTCTGTAAAGTCGAAGTGTTAATATTTTTAGAATTCCTGATAACAAAGCCATAGGTTTGATAAGCGCTTGAGATAGTTTGAATAATATGTTCATTGCAGGTTAATTGTTGATCAAAGTAGATGCCTAAATTAGCGGAGCTTGCTCCAGTTCTTTCGCGTCTCTTCCAGATACCTTATGAATCCGGCACCTTCCCAGAAAACTAGAAATTTGCTCATGTCCAACCCATCCCAAAAAAAGGATCTAAGACCGACCCTTACAACTACAGGCCTATAGCTCTGCTTTCTGTTATAAGTAAGGTGATGGAGAGGTGCACAAATCGCGAGCTTCTGGACTACCTCGAACGTAACAGCTTGATTAGCCACAGGCAGTATGGCACCAACAATCCACTGGGGACCTCCTAGCTTACGTTACGCAATTGTGGAGTAAACTCATCCAGTTTTATGGTCAGGCTCATGTCGTTGCTCTTGACATCACGAAAGCGTTCGATCGGCTGAGGCACGCTGCCCTCTTAAGCAAACTTCCATCCTGTGGCCTCCCAGAAAGGCTTTGCAGATGGGTGGCTGACTTTATCTCTGGCCGCAAGATATCCGTCGTAATTGACGGGTTCTCCTCTTCATCCCACAACGTCAACGCGGGTATTCCCCAGGGATCTGTCTTGGCTCCGACACTGTTTCTCTTACCAATCAACGACCTCCTTTCCTACACGATCAACCCAATCCACATCTTCGCTGATGACAGCACTCTACATGCAGGAATTCAGAGTGACAAGCCGATTTCTGCCGCTGAGCTGGAAAAAAGAAGACTAGCGACGACTTCCTCTCTGACAAGAGACCTGGAGGCTATCACTGCTTGGGGACGCAACAATTTTGTACAGTTCAATGCTTCCAAAACACAGTACTGTACTTTGACGAACAAAAAGCGTCCTAGCGCTCATCCGGTTTCGATGGATGGCCGAGTTGTGCCAAAGAGCCATTGATTTCGGCTGATCAGAGTCCAGATCACCGAGGACCTAATCTGGCACGAACCCATCTCGTCAATAGCTGCAGCTGCTGGGAAAAAGCAAGGTTTTTTGGTTAAGGGCTAAAAAGTACTTTTCCCCGCATGACCTTCTCACTCTATACAAGGCCCAGATAAGGCCTAGCCTCGAGTATTGCTCACATATTTGGGGTGCTGCCGCCCCGACTACATTGTCCATGCTCGATGCTGTCCAGAGGAGGGCGGTCCGACGGATCGATGACTCTTCTCTAAAAGACAGTCTCGGGACTCTTTCGCACCGGCGGGCCGTCGGCGATCTAGTTATTTTCTACCGCTACACCAACGGGCTTTGCTCCTCAGAGCTCTCTTCCATGATGCCGCCGCGCGATGTGCCTGCCAGATAGACCCGCCTGACGTTGACGTCCCATCCTAACCGTGTCGAACTTCATACATCCAGAACTGGTCGATACGACCGCTCCTTTGTTCCGAGGGTGTCGAGGTTGTGGAACAATCTACAAGAGGAAGCTTTTCCCAGTTCTACTAACCTTAGGCAGTTCAAAAATCGTATTAACAAAATTGCTTTGTCATCATCACAGCAGCCGTGGTGTTCCGGCATTTAGGCTTCTGCCTGCTTCGATATAAAAAGAAAATCTTTTACATTTTCGCTACGCTCTAGAACATATTAATCTATTGTATAATTATATGCCAAGGGGTTGGTCTTCCTAGAAAAAGTGACTACTTTGCATCTACTTATGTTAAGATGGAGTTGATTATTGATGCACCTGCTTTGTAATACATTTGTCTGACCTTGAACAAATACACAGTCTTCGAAACAAGATACGGATGAATACAATTTCAGGTCATCTGCGAACATTAACTTAGAACAATTCAAAGATTCACACAGATTATTAACCAATACTATAAACAACAGCGGTCCTAAATTCGACCCATGTGGAACACCACTAGTTGAAACATATACATTTCCACAGAAATAAGATGTTAAGAGAGCTAAATAAGTGTTTCTGAAGCCTATGTACTCAAGCTTTTGAAGCAAAATACTATGATTGACCTGATCAAAGGCCTTGGAGAAGTCAGTGTACACCATATCCACCTGTCTTCTGCTGTCCAACCTGTTGCACAAATATTGGCTAAATACCATTAAATTTAAGGTTGAGCGTTGCCTCATGAAACCATGTTGATCGATGGAAATAATGTTTTTTCGTGGACAGGTATATGCGGTTGTACAGTACGATCTCCAAGAGCTTTGCAAAATCATTAAGTACGGATATAGCCCTATATTTACTAATGCAGTGATAATTCTTTGACTTCGGAATTGGACAATCTTTAGCAATTTTCCACTTATCGGAAAACAGTCGTTTTAAAGATTAAAGATAACTCGTAAAGGATAAACTAATTAACTGATACAGTCTCTAACAAAAAAGATGGGATTTGATCAGGTCCAGCAGTCAGTTTGTTTTGAGTTTTCTACTGGAAACTAATATTTCCTCATCTGATATCCAACCAATGTCGGCGAGCCCATTATTAGTGAAGTCAAAATGATACTCAGCATCAACATCATTAGTCTTTGATGAGTAAACACTAGAAAAAAAATTGCAAATACGTCAACTATATTTTGTGGATCACTGTCTCGCTACGATAAAACATTTTACTAGGAATCCTAGACATGTTGTTGTTACTATGCACGAAAGACCAGAAAAACTTAGGGTCATCAATTACATGATTTTGATTGTTTTAAAGATATGTGTTATATGCTGCCTCCTTAGTTTTAAGTTTAAATATTTCTCGAAGCTGACTGAATTCCTGGTAATGGTCGTCAGTTCCAGATTGCTTAAATTTCTTGTGCGCTATATCTTTCTGCTTAACTAATATTATAATGTCACTGGTATACCAACAGGGACATTTATGTTTGAAATTTTTATATAGTAGTTAGTGAACATCAAATAAATCATAAAGTTTGCTATAAAATCCATTAATTGCATCATCTGTATCATTTGCATTATCAAAAAGTCCCAGTTAATCAATAAAAAAGCATTATATAATGAAAAAAGTTAGTACGTCTAAAATTATAACGCTTTTGATTGGTACTGGCTCTAAAGTGGGGAAGGATGATAAACATCTTCGTCAACTAATGGAATTAAATCTCAACATACAGTACAATTTATACTATTTATTACTAAATCCAGGAGTCTATTATATTGGTTCCGAATATCATTATACTGTTTCATGTTCCTGAAGTTAAGCCAGCTTACAATATAATGTGTCTTTGCGTCATTCAAATTATTCTCCACCCAAAAATATTACACGTTTGGAATTCATATTTTCCCAGTTTTCCAACATATCAAAAAAAGCCTCAAATACATCAGTAGAAACATGCGGTGCAATATATATGACAGCAAAATAAAGATTTTGATGAGTTACAGTGCATTTGCACATCAAAAAATCAATTTCTGGGAAATTTGCATCAAACTGCAGTGTATCTACTTCACCAGAATTAAAATTTGAGTTAAATGTAGTTCACACTTCAATTCAAAGAATAAGCTCATCAGATATCAAAGGAGAGCTGGAGATATATGTTAGATATATAACATTAAAAGGGTGGGATAGTTTCACTATCAACATTCCTAATGAGGTTTTGAAAGATACGAACCGTCTGAGAATTGAGTGGGATCATGACCAGAAATAAAATTGAAAACATAAGCACTATAAGATTAGAATCTATAAAATATTATTATTTGATGAGTTATTCTATCCAAAACCTACCAATTCGACAGATGGGAGAGTTGCACGGTAGTTAACATTAAAGTGAAAGCATGCTGAGATTCGTAGAAAACTCTACGAAAAAAAAACTCTTTTGGCTGTAGTTTACTTGATGTTTTGAACTTCTATTACAGTTGAATAATTCATTCTATTACATCTAATTTATCCTATTCATACTTATATAGTCAAGCAAACATTAACGTTCTACGAGCACCCTTTTTGTTAATGTATATGTGCGCCTAATCGTTTCTTAGAATATGCGCGAATGATTCTTCAAGTTACAATGTCCATACTTCAGTTTGTGATGAAATTTACGTACATGGATAAAATTTCTCAGACTCCATTACAAATAGGTTCTTACTTAAGAAGTGATCGTCGTAGAAAGTATAATTTCCGACACTAGCTGATCAGATGAGATATCCGTTGTGGTAAGCTTGTGTAGAGGCAAACTCAAACAATAGCTCGCTAATTAACGTGTGTCCGTGTATACGGGAACGACGCCGGCGTAACTTTGTCACCAAATTTCGATTAAACTTGCAAAATGGTGGCAGGGGCGCCAAAGCCACTTTGCGGCAAACTTGCTGTAATTATAGAATGTGGCTTTGAGACGACCTGCCATGGTTCCGAGGTAAAGAAAGACTGTTTATAATATGTTAGAAGAACAGCCTGCAAACTTTAGGCGACAAACTTTCAGACCCCGCCATTCAACGTCAAATATAGGTGGATGTGAAGTGTAGTTTGGAATCAAAGGATTGGTAACACAGAAGCTACACTCAAGCAAATTCCCCAGTGCAATTTTCAGCGTCCGACATTTAACTGGAATTAGGCAATAGTCACAACTTTGGCCAAAAATGATAATCTATCTAAACATGCTGATCTTAGACCTATAAGTGGCTTATGTTTCCAATCGAAAGTCTTGGAGAAGATAGTGTACCAACAGCTCGTTGAGTATTTTGCCAGTAATCATTTGTTTCCAGTACACCGATCTTCGTGGAAGTCATAGTATGAGAACTTTCGAGTAAGCACGTTAGAAGCTACTTTGGATTTCCTCAGATCCTACCTAAGTGATCGCACCCAAAAAGTGAAAACCTCTAGAGCAGTGGTCGGCAACCTTTTCAGTATGTTGAGCTACTTTGATAATTTTGGAATAAGCAGTGAGCTACCTAGTCGTAAGCAATGTAAGCCTCGTCTGTATTTCTAAAGTTGGCATCTGCAGCTTCTAAAAACGCCTTTTTTATCATTTCCCAGTCTTCCCCGTAATTTTTATGCAACAGCGGTGCCCGCAGTAGTAGACTCTTCGGTCTCCTGATCAGTCGCCGTCAGCTGTGCGGGTTCGGATCCTGTCCCAGGAAAAAATTTTCTCTTGGCTATGGATGCTGTGATTGTCCGTAGGTGGTAGACGGTCTCTGACTGTCGATCGCGGAGCTACCACCCGGCGGATCTCCTAGGCGGGGCCAGAATGTGTGCATGTTGCATGCACACGTGTTCCCTCGCCAGAGTCCGTGTGGCGTTCCCCCTTTCCTATATATTCCCCTATAGCCCCACGGTACCCCATGGGTGTTTAGGCCTTAGGCCTTCGTGGTAGTTGGAGTATAAAAAAATTCATAAGGTTTCTTCTTTTGTGTGATCATCTGGGATACTCGGTATGATGCTTCCGTTGCAGCCTCACTTTTGTCGATTCTTTTGAAAAACGTTGTTGTCCAATTAACTGATTATTTAATTGTTCCAGTTTTTCCGTTCTGGTTGCAGAACTTAATGGGAATGATTTTTCAAAATTCGTATGTACAGTTTTAAAGAAAGTGCCTCACTATATTCCCTTTTTTAGCAACGGAAACAAATGTATTACATAACAAACATACATTTTTACATTTAACTTCTGTAAAGAAATATTGTTCTTCCCATTCCGAATCGAAATGGTATGTCTTCATCTTCTTACTACTGCTCACAACGTTTTTAATTGCAGGCTGGACTTTGTGCCGTACATTTTCATATTTATTCCGTTCAAAGCAATCGAAATCATTTTTGAACTGATCGGTCACCGCAGTGTTGCCGCTGCTTGTGTTTATTATGAGTGTTTACAAAATTTACGGAAGCTTCTATGGTTTTTACTCTTCAAAATATGTTTTGAGTCACGAGAATTGCCTTTGCGAGCTACCAATAGCTCGCGATCAACGGGTTGGCGACCACTGCCCTAAAGCAACTTCTGATGCACAGTAAGTTTCATCAGCAGTTCCTCAGGGTTTAGTTTTATTCCTAGTATACACTTTAGGTCTATGTGAGTATGTAGAACGTTGTTACATTCAAATGTACCTATGCTGACGATACGTGATTTTCATTTCGTTTTAATGAATCCAACCGATGATAATGTATTATCGTACTGTTATAGGCACTGTCCGCATCAAGCCTTCAAAATATACAGCGATGCCGTACCCTCCTAAATATTCAAATTTCAATATCACAGTTAGTGATATTCCATTTTTTTATAGTGCTAATTATCTAGGTGTTATATTTAATTCAAAGCTTAGATTTAACTTACATGTGAATAGTATCATTAAGTCGTGTTATATGAAGATGAAGTTCTTATATTCTAGTCGCCAAATTCTAAACTTCAAGTGCCGTAAAAAGTTGTGCGAAAGCCTGATACAGTCGGTTTGTGATCAAAATTGCAGAAGGTTCAGAACAACTATTGCAAATTCATATTTGGTCTTAGGAAGTATAGTAGCGTTTCTTCAAAAATCAAGGAGTTACAGTGGCTCAGAGTTGATGGTTTATCCAATTATTCCATGGTTTGATTGATGCACAGAATTTTTGGAAAAAATCGAGGGAGGGTCGGACGCCCATGGTCCACCAGTTATAGCAGACCAGATCAGACCAGCTTGTAGTAAAGCAACATCATATCAATTATTTGTATGGATGATTGTATATAGTCTATGATAGCCAGAAATTGCTTGTTAGAAATCAGGGAATAACTTGATAAAAGAATCGATTTGTATATTGCATGAAGCAAAATAAAATTCAATAGTATTAGCGCCGCCAATCTTTTTGTCTATAGTCACACAATTTTGTAGGTTGCCTCACTACTTCACTCATACTCGTATGTATGCCTATACTTATTTGTACACTCTTCTCATGAATTACTTAAGAGAATCGAATTTTGCATAGTTGTTTGCACTTAAATCGATTGAATGCGGTACAGAGACATTTTAGCCACACTCAAATTCTAAGCGTTATTAGCGATATTTGCAACCAGAATTTTGATCAATCTATAATTCTACTATGGCACGAAATCATCAGAATGTAGAAAAACGTCAAATAACGCATTTTCGTTTTTTTGGGTGTTGACCCTCATGCACTTTTGTACTACGTAAAAAAATAATCAGTAACTCAGAAATCATTCAAAATATCTGTTTGTTGACGTTCTCAGATTTTCCATTTTTACTTGTTCCTGTGCCCTTATTGGTGGGAGCATTTAAGGTATTCTAACTATAGGAACAGCGGACCTCGAAGTTCTTCCGCTAAACTCATTTATAGGGCTCTTGTTCGGACTCAAAACAGTCATCCAGATACAAAACATGTGTGATTCACAACTCAATCAATCATTTGAACGACGAATAATGCGTAGGTGAACGTAGCTGACATTGCTGAAAACAGCTCGACCCTGTAACATTGTGTCTGCCCTCCTTCTGGCTGAAGCTAGCGCGTTGACAGCTCGGGTTATATTGGTGCTCTCTGTGCCAGAACCTGCGCTGTTCTGCGTGCCCGTAAAATTCATCTGACAAATATTAGCTAGAGTGATTTCACTAGCCCTATCTTTGGTAGCAAGTTCAAAATATGTTTAAATATCCTTGTTAGAAAAATAGTTAATGAGCTACCTTTTTGTAGGTATAACGCAGAATCGCTGTATAGTTCCAAAACGGTGGATGTACGATATACAGGGTGCCCCACGTAGAACTGCAGCGATCAATTGCTCAAAAAGTTGACGTAAGGCATATATAAAAATTTGGGCTTATTGGCATTGATTAACGTATTGCACCTGAAAATGCCCAATTTAAATAGGCACCAAAATGAGATTGTAGGTGCTTATGGGTCCAATATTGTAATTGCTACAATTAGAATGCAGCAATTATGATTTCTGGATTTTGTAATTGAGGCAACAAAGCATAAACAGTACAGCATAAGTTTTCGGGAACCATTATCAACGTACAATTTTTAAGTATCTTAGACTTTTGGTCGCAGATGCAGCAATTTGAGCAACAAAGGATTACACTAGTAAGTCATAGAAATGAAAGGAGAAGATGACGGTTCGCGGGTCATACGCTTTTTAGCTTCCATTAGTGCATTTGTGTCGAGTAGATGGATTTTGCTTTCCATGTGTTTATGTTTCAATACATTGCGACTTATTTCACAATTTATCTATTTTGCAACTTTACTTACTTTATTCTTAGCAGTACTAGAACTAGTAGCATAATCTAGTTTTTCGATTATATTTTATAGACGTAATCATTATCTTAGTTCATGATAAAAATGTATAGCTATATGTGGCCTTTAATAGTTTGTATATTTTAAAACTTAGAGTTTAAGTTTATAACTATTTCGTTAGTAGCCCTAGATGTTACCCCTCATAATAAGATGTGAAACAATGTCAAGTGTGATAGTTTTAAGTAATCATTGTTGATACATAAATAATTCAATATACGTTTTCGTTTTTAGAAACTCTTTTAAGAGTTAGACTGTCTCCAGCTATGAGACATGCGAGTGGGAACTGCATACCGCTTGTTAAGATAACAATCAATGGCAGCTTTCGATAAATATTGGGTTGGAAATTCAAAATAGCCTATTACAAGTCTAACTCTCTTCATTTTGGATTTCTCAATTCATTTTTGTATTTTGAAATTGTCTGAAAGATGACGCCAGTATCTTCAGATCCCTTTTTGAACGCCACACGGTTCGCAGGCTTCGGGTAGCATACATGAATGATATCATCACCCATTTCCTTTTGTTGGTGGTGACATCATCAACGCCATATGAAATGAGTAAACAGATCGAGTCTCCGTACCATGGACGCCGACTAATCTTTAGTGCAATAGGGGCCGCTGTTTTCATTCTTTTCCTGAAAATACTCTAATAAATTTAGCACGAGCTGTCGGCCTTCTCCGTTGGTCGTATTTCTAGGCATTGTATAATTTTATATTGAAGATGAAAACAGGACAACTCGAACTGCACGCCGATGTCAAGTAAGTTGTAACCCTGACAAATATGTTTGAAGGGCACTCATACGTAACGATAAAGTTTTCGAGACGGGGACACACAACTAAAAAACGTGTGTCTTTGACGTTACCAAACAAACGTTCACACACAGGGGTAGGTTGCGTGTGTATGTATGAGGGAGATGGAGTTATATAAAGGGATACTGGTAGTATTACTTTGACCCGCTAAGAACGGTGACTACAACTATATAAATCAGTCTACATTCTACACAATGAGCATGGCTTTGTTGTGGACATGTTTATCTTGAGTGTAACCTAGGACTCATCAGCAAAATTACGAAGATCGAGCCATCCATATGCTTTATGTAGGCAGCTCTACCCATTATTATGTAAGCGTTTTAAATTGAGTTTGACCAGCAACATTCGGCTATACAGGGTGTCCTTTCCTTTTTAGAAACCATTATAATTGAAGTAACGAAGCTAATGTGCAGTAGAACAGCAGCGAAAATTGAAAAAAAAATGAAAAAGTACTCACAGTTCATACGCATAGAGATTTCAGGTAAGGGCTCTGTCACTTATAAGTTCTGTTCGAATGTTTCGTAGAAAGTCTCGGAATTGTACTTCGGAAGTCATTTGTCCGTGCCCAATATGTTCTGCAACAACAATTACTCGCAAAAACGCAACCTTGCAGGAAATCCTCAGCTTGTGAGGCTCGTACAAAATGGTACAAACCATCATCACGCAGCATTTACCACTCTTTAGTTTTGGAGGCTTGCATTTATCTGTCTTTCCTAATGCTTCTTGAAGGATTTTTTCTACAAGATTCAATATTCCTTTCTCAGTTGTGCGCACGTCGACGTTCCTGCAAAACGAACTGTTATCCTAGTTTTTTTTTGCACAAGATAAACAAATCTATACGGCCCGAATGATAACGTCTAGAAAAGCGATCTGCATACACTCGCTAAGCGTTCGTCATAAATTAAAATCATATCCACAAGTTCAATATTGCTGAGCGAGTGTACCACTTTGCTTTTTCGAACCGATTGGTAAATGAATGTTTTGTTTGTCTACGCTGCCGGCGCCTGGGTTGAGTACTGTCGAACGTCGTATCTTCTCACTTTTGATCTGATCGAGATACAGGAACGAATTAGGTTTGATTGGTTTTGTGAAGCCTAATATTTCAGTTATCTAATGTCTTTGGATATATGCTGCTAGGAAAAATTTTATTTTTTCATGATCCATACGTCGTGTATGGGAAAATCTCAACTTTGCGGACATTCTGTATCACATGATCGTAAGACAAAATCTAACGCCCCATGGTACGTCTCTAGCAAAACCCTCCATAGATACCTCGATATCTCTTTCCTTACCAGT